TGTCTATCTGGACTTCAGCAAAGCCTTTGACACTGTCTCCCATAATATACTCCTGGAAAAGCTGCAGCCCATGGCTTGGACAGGGGCACTCTGTGCTGGGTCAGGAACTGGCTGGAGGGCCGGGCCCAGAGAGTGCTGGTGAATGGGGCTGCATCCAGCTGGCAGCCGGTCACCAGTGGTGTTCCCCAGGGATCAGTGCTGGGCCCAGTCCTGTTTAACATCTTTATCGATGATTTAGATGAGGGGATTGAGTCCATCATCAGCAAATTTGCAGATGACACCAAGTTGGGAGGGAGTGTTGACCTGCTGGAAGTCAGGAGGGCTCTGCAGAGGGATCTGGATAGACTGGAGGGTTGGGCTGATTCCAACAGGATGAGGTTCAACAAGGCCAAGTGCCGGGTCCTGCACTTTGGCCACAACTACCCCCTGCAGTGCTACAGGCTGGGCACAGAGTCGCTGGAGAGCAGCCAAGTGGAAAGGGATCTGGGAGTTTGGATTGACAAGAAGCTGAACATGAGCCAGCAGTGTGCCCAGGTGGCCAAGAAGGCCAATGGCATCCTGGCCTGGATCAGGAACAGTGTGACCAGCAGGAGCAGGGAAGTGATCCTTCCCCTGTACTCAGCACTGGTGAGGCCACACCTGGAGTGCTGTGTTCAGCTCTGGGCCCCTCAGTTCAGGAAGGATATTGAGGTGCTGAAGCAGGTTCAGAGAAGAGCAACGAGGCTGGTGAAGGGACTTGAGCACAAGTCCTATGAGGAGAGGCTGAGGGAGCTGGGGTTGTTTAGTCTGGAGAAGAGGAGGCTCAGGGGTGACCTCATCACTCTCTACAACTCCCTGAAAGGAAGTTGTAACCAGGTGGGGGTTGGTCTCTTCTCCCAGGCAAGCAGCAGTAGGACAAGAGGGAACGGGCTTAAGCTCTGCCAGGGGAGGTTTAGGTTGGATATTACAAAGAAGTTCCTTACAGAGGGAGTGATCAGGCATTGGAATGGGCTGCCCAGAGAGGTGGTGGATTCACCATCCCTGGATGTTTTTAAGATGAGGCTGGATGAGTGCCATGATCTAATAATCACAGTGGGGTTGGATCAAAGGTTGGACTTGATGATCTCGGAGGTCTCTTCCAACCTAGTTAATTCTATGATTCTATGAAAAGGGGTGCAGAGACCAAAATTGCCTTCTCTTTGTACCTCATTTTTGCCCACTGGAGCACAGCGGACTCAGAGTCTTTCCTGAGGGCCACCCTGCCTCTGCTGTGGCTGCTTTTTGCCTCAGGTCAGAGCAGGTTTTTCATCAGACCTGGGACACGGTGGCCCCAGCCGAGCTGTCCCAGTGTGCCCAGCCCCATACAAACTTGCTGCCGCCTCAGAAGCTATCTCCCCTCCTGTCTCAGCTGCAGCTGTTTCGCTGTCTTGCCCACAAAAAGCGCTGTCGCCCTGTTGCCCAAGCTTGCCCAGCCCTAGCGGGCCACAGCACGATGCTGGATCAGCCCCAGCCCCACCACTGACACACACGTGGTTTGCTACACCATGGCCCACGCCGCCGCCTCAGCAGCCCAGGGCCTTCTTTGGGCAAAATATCCATTCAGGTTTTGTTTTAACCTAGGGGGAAGGCAGATAGCTATATAATATTTTCTATTATTTTATTTGTTTGTTTGTTTTGTTTGTTTCTTTCCCTTTTTATTTTCTTTCCCTTGTAATTTTCCCTTCTTCGTTCAGACTCCTCCTAAGTTTTACCTTCTCTATACTGCGAGGGGGGAAATAAAAAAAAAAGAAAAAAAAAGGAGGACTCATTTCACTAGAGGTCTAACCTCCTGAATAGATTGTCATTAAACCAAGACACCAGGGATATGTCTTCCAATATGAATATGACAAAGAAATAACCAACAAAGCAGAAAAAGTTGTTCAAAAAAGAAAACCCAGATGTATTCAAACTGTGAGATGAAATTTGAATTGAACTGCAATTATATTACCATCAGTATTTATTTTTAAAATTAATTTAACTGAATTCTAGGGAGGAGGGCTAGCTGAGATTTTAAATATTATGTAAACTGTTTTTGCAGAACATGATGGGAAATTGCTGTGTTTAAAGGGGCTTATGACTTCAAATTAAGCCTAAATTTGTTCTATGACCATGCCATACAGAAAGTTTGAGTCACAACTTATTAATAAGTTTTCTAATCATCTTAGTGCTACCAATAGATTTAGATAAAGGGAAATGAGTATAAAAGAATTCTGTAGGGGGTGTTATACGTACGTCTTGAATAACTACTGTGTAATACAAGTCTTATGCTTTTAAGCAAACATCTTCATTAATCCACTGGTAAACTATACTGTGGCTAAACATAATGCAAGCATTCATCAGCTTT